TTTTTTTTTTTTTTTTTTTTTTTTTTTTTTTGTCCTTTTTGAGACCGGCCACACCGCGCTCAGCCAGTGAGCGCTGTGAGCGCACCGGTCATCCCTATATAGGATCCGAACCCGCGGGAGCGCTGCTGCACTCGCAGCGCTGTACTCTCCCGAGTGCGCCACAGGCTTGGCCCCCTGCCAGTGCAATTCTAAATAGCCCAGCAAAGAGCTGAGATTGGTTGTTAGGTGGGATGGCTGGTATCTAGTTCCTGGGCTCCATCTGGACATTTTCCATGACCTGGAGACACTCCAGGTTCCCCCTGGATGTGTGTAGGGTTAGGATGCTGCTAATCCCCACCCATGACCACAAATCCTTAGAATCCTGTGGACTCTGAGCTTTCTGACTCCCCCACCCATGGGTCCCTTGGCTCAGAGGGATTTCCTCATGATTGGGTAGGCACTTTCTGGAGCCAGACTGTAGGTATGTGTGCCTGCTGGCTGGAACTTTCCAGTAGCTGGAGGGATCATGTAGAAGGTCCAGCTGGAGGCCTAGTGGAGGCTTCCTGGTTCCATGCTGTTTTCCATCATATAAAATCCACAGTTTTCTTCCCAATTTTTATTCACCATGAGGCGCCTCCGTTTCCTCTCCTGCTTGTATTCTGTTACTCCTTGCCACACTGCCCCAGGAGCACAGCCACCATGTTGTCTCCACATCCCTACCCATAACCTGTTTTCCGCACTCACCTTCCAGCCTGAAGAAGCAGGCGGTCGAGGAGAGTCAGCTCTGGCCTGCCTTTGGAGTATGAACAGCCTTTTCCTAGGTTGTTATTTGATAAGCTCCTATGTTCAGCCATTGTGCTAGGGACAGTCAGACTCTGTCCCTGCTTACAACACATCCCCAGCCTTGCTGCAGCGAGCAGGTGAATGGACAAATTAACGTACGATGAACAGTCTTGGTAAAAACGGATCATGGCAAGCTCTTGTCCAAAAATCTGTGATGGGTCCTTGTTACCTTTTGGAGGGTCCCCACCCTCCAAAAAACTAGCCCCAGGCAGTAAGATAACAGATACATATTCTGGCCTCTCTCCTCCTCTGTTCATGCCATTCACATCCAGGAAGCTGCTGCTCTTCCTTTTTTCTGCACATGGACTTCCTGCTCATCCTCCAAGGCCCAGCAGAAACACCATTTCCTCTGGGAAGCCTTTGCCTACCCTGCCACCTCCCAAAAGCATAACTAAGAACTAACCTGCCTCTCTGCTTCTGTTGCCCTTTGCACAGATTTCTGCTGAAAACATTTATCACTGTGATTCACTTTCTGTTGCTCGGTGCCTGACACATCATGAGTCACTTAGTGTCTAATGAATGAGTGAGTAAATGAATGAATGAATAGCTTAGTGAAAACCAAATACACACAGGGATGCCCAAGGCCCTTTCACATTTCACCTGGACCATGCAAAAGAGGTTGCAGGCAGATTTCAGTTCACTAATGTGAATGTTTATTGGGGCCCTACTGTATGCCAAGGGGTGGAGTGACAAACATCAATGGGATAAGGTGCTACTTGCAGGTGGTACTTGCCTTTCAGGCCCACCGTCTACTGGGAGATGGGCATAGTGAGACTCAGTGGAGAGGCTGTCGGAAACAAAAGCTAACTGCTTCTCACCAACAAACGCTGACTTCACAAGGGGTGAGCTCTCTGCCTTGGCTGAGTGGAGATAATCCTCCTGGTGTGTGTTATAAATTTACCACAGAAAGGCCTGTTGATGTGGGTGGGTGGGGGGTGAGGGTAGATGATGTGGCCCTGTACTTACATGGATGGAAGGGACACTGGGGCTGATTGGCAGCAAACGTGCTTTCAGACATGCCTTCTGCAGGACGGATCACCAGGAAATGGGGCTCAGTACCACCCAGGAACCTCACCCTGGGACATGGTCCCAACACAAATAATGGCCATGTAGAGGGCGTTTCTGTGTGGTTTTGTGTTTGTTCTGGATTTGGGAGTTTCCCCTCTGAGTATGGGTGTGTCCTTCCCCCCTCCCCTGCTCCTGCCCTAACTGATTCAACTGGAGAACTCAGAAATGGAAGGTAGTCAGTCCTCAGGTCTGATGGTATTTTAAGCAAAAAGAGCAAGTCGTGAGAATTGACCAAAATTGTACGTAAGGCAGGAACACAGAACTCTGAGGGGGCTTTTGATTTATATAAACAGTGTTAAGAGGGGTGAATTCCTAAGCAAGACAACCCCGAAATCCAAATTTCTCTATCCTTTGTGTTCATGGTCTGATGAGGTCTCCTG